CCACGGCCTTATTTATTAGTGCCGACTACAGAAAGCTTCTGCACCAGCACTTTGCCTGGCTTATTATCTCATGGAGCGTATTATTGGCAGGAATCTGGTGGCAAGCAAGGGGAAGTGACTCAGCCTGGACCCCCCAGCATGTGAGGAGCCTGGCACACTGGATCCCAGTTCTCCATGGGTCTTAACCCTCACATGCCCAGGTCTGCATTAGGAAGGCCCTGGGGGAGATTCAGGGTCACGACATCACCATCCATGCACAGGAAAAGCTCCTAGCATGATTGGTGGCATCAGGCTTCGCTACTGTGTATTCTGTGCCTGACTTTCTTTTTTTTTTTTTTGAGACAGCCTCGCTCTGTCACCCAGGCTGGAGTGCACAGACACAATTTCTGCTCACTGCCATTTCTGCTGCCCGGGTTTAAGCGATTCTCCTGTCTCAGCCTCCTGAGGAGCTGGGATTACAGGCACCCATTACCACGCCAGGCTAACTTGTATTTTTTAGTAGAGGTGGGGTTTCACCATGTTGGCCAGGCTGGTCTTGAACTCCTGACCTCAGGTGATCCACACACCTCAGCCTCCCAAAGGGTGGGATTACAGGCATGAGCCATTGCACCCAGTCTTCTGTGCCTAACTTTCTTTTTTTTTTTTGAGAGGGAGTTTCGCTCTTGTCACCCAGGCTGGAGTGCAATGGTATGATCTTGGCTGACTGCGACCTCCACTTCCCAGGTTCAAGTAATTCTCCTGCCTCAGCCTCTGGAGCATTTGGGATTACAGGCATGCACCACCATGCCTGGCTAATTTTTGTATTTTTAGTACAGACAGGGTTGCACCATGTTGGCCAGGCTGGTCTTGAACTCCTGTCCTCAGTTGATCTACCTGCCTTGGCCTCCCAAAGTGCTGGGATTACAGGCGTGAGCCACTGCACCCAGTCTTCTGTGCCTAACTTTCATTGAAATCTCACTGAAGCCTGTAAAGTCACACTACCGTCCTCATTTTCCCAATGAGACAGCAGAGGCTCAGGGACAATCCAGTTCCAAACCCACACAGCTGGGAAGTGGTGCTTTGGGATGTGTGTCCAGAGAGCTGGATTCAGAGCCTGTGGTCAGTAACCCCTACAGCCACCAGGCTCTGCTGTCTTAAATATGCTGACCTCCCAAACCAAGCTGTGCTGGAAGGAAACTCTGCCCCATCACTCACCCACCACGGGGCATTGGGCAACTTCTTCAGCTCTCTGCCTCAGTCTCCTCATTCATAAAGCAAGGATGCTGTTGCTGCCTACCTCCCAGGGTTTGTCCTAGGGACTGCATTCGTTATTAACCAGCTGTCCAATGCTTGGAGCAGTATGTGGTGCATGGTTAGCGATCAGTCAGGGCTAGTTATAATTACCATCAGCACTAACCTGGTCAGCGATTCAGTGTGGCATGTGGTTTACATGCTCAGTCTCATTTAATTATCACTAATGTTTTGAGGGAAGTACTATGATCCCATTCAAGAAAGGAGGGACCAGGCTGGGCGTGATGGCTCACACCTGTAATCCCTGCACTTTGGGAGGCTGAGGTGGGCAGATTACAGGGTCAGGAATTCAAGACCAGCCTGGCCAACATGGTGAAACCCCATCTCTGCTAAACAGACAAAAATTAGCCGGGTGTGGTGGTGGGTGCCTGTAGTCCCAGCTACTTGGGAGGCTGAGTCAGGGGAATTGCTTGAACCCAGGAGATGGAGGTTGCAGTGAGCCAAGATCATGCCACTGCACTCTAGCCTGGGTGACAAGTGAGACTCCATTTCCAAAAAAAAAAAAAAAAAAAGAAATGAAAAAAAAGAGGAGAGACCTTGAGATCGTAATCATACCTACCACACTATGGTGGATGTGCTGATGGGTAAGAGTTTGCACGTGGGAGTAGTATTTTCACTCACTCATTCGCTCATTCATTCATTCATTCATTTTGAAAATTGTAAATTATACATAACATAAATTTACCATCTTCATCATTTTGAAGTATGCATTTCAGTAGTGGTAAGTACACTCATGTTGCTTTGCAACCAATCTCCAGAACTCTTTCATCTTGCAAAATGGAAACTCTGTACCCTTTAAATCACTCCACATCCCCACACCCTCCAGCCTGGCAACTACCTTGCTACTTTCTGTCTCTATGAATTTGATTATTCCAGCTATTTCATATAAGTGGGATCATAGAGTATTTGTCCTTTTGTTACTGACTTATTTAGCTTAGTATAATGTCCTCAGGGTTTTTCAATGTTTATAGCATGTATCATAATTCATTTCCTTTTTAAGGCTGAATAATATTCCATGGTATGTATATAGCACATGTCATTTATGCATTCATCTGTCAATAGCCACTTGGCTATTCCCACTTTTTGGCTATTGTGAACAATGCTACTGTGAAGACAAGTGTATGAATATCTATTTGAGTCCCTGCTTTTTTTTTTTTTTTTTTTTTTTTTTTTTGAGACGGAGTTTTGCTCTTGTTACCCAGGCTGGAGTGCAATGGCGCGATCTCGGCTCACCGCAACCTCCGCCTCCTGGGTTCAGGCAATTAGGATACTAATTTTTAATAGTAGCCATACTAAAGGATATGAGATGGTATTTAATTGTGGTTTTCATTGCATTTCCCTAACGATTAGTGAAATTGAACATCTTTTCATGTGCTTGTGGCCCATTCAATCTTTTTTTTTTTTTTTTTTTTTTTTTTGAGACCCAGTCTTGCTCTGTCACCCAGGCTGGAGTACAATGGCATGATCTCAGCTCGCTGAAACCTCTGCTTCCCAGGTTCAAACAATTCACCTGCCTCACCCTCCCAAGTAGCTGGGACTACAGGTGTGCACCACAACACCCAGCTAACTTTCATATATTTAGTAGTAATGGGGTTTTACCATGTTGGTCAGGCTGGTCTCAAACTCCTGACCTCAGGTGATCCACCCAACTTGGCCTCCCAAAGTGCTGGGATTACAGGCATGAGCTACTACACCTGGCCCATTCATTCATTTTTTCCTTAGAAATACTAAGCATTCAGTATGCACGAGGCACTGTTTAGGTGCTGGTAATACAGTGTTGAACAGCCCAGATGCTCACATTCGTGATGTGTGAGTTTTGCTGCCAGCATCCATCAGCTGTGAAATGATGACCCCTTTCTGTGCCTCGGTTTCCACATCTGGGTAATGGCTGCCACATATCAACTGCTATCAACTGAGCACTAGATTCTGTTCCAAGCAAAGTGCCAAATCTCCACCTGGACCCAGTCCATCATATCAGTCCCATGAGGTAGGTCCTGTTCTGTGTGTGTGTGTGTCTGTGTGTGTGTGTTTTGAGACAGACTGGAGTGCAGTGGCTTGATCTTGACTCACTGCAGTCTCCGCCTCCTGGGTGGTTCAAGCGATTCTCCTGCCTTGGCCTCCCGAGTAGCTGGGATTACAGGCGCCTGCCACCACACCAAGCTAATTTTTGTATTTTTAGTAGAGATGGGGATTCACCATATTGGCCAGGCTGGTCTTGAACTCCCGACCTCAAGTGATCCATCCTCAGCCTCCCAAAATGCGGGGATTACAGGCGTGAGCCACTGTGCCTGGCCTCAACCTTCATTTCTTGAGGTCTCCCATGTGCCAGGCCTAGTGCCAAGAAATGCTGGCACACAGGAATCAGACTCCCATGCCCTATCCCCTCCAGGAACTTCCAGCTTGCCACGGACAAAGAAGATCATCTGTAAACTAATGCATGTCCTACGGGGTACCTAAGAGCGGGAAACAGATCAAAGTTTGGTGGGAGGAATGAGTGCGTGCGTGCGTGTGTGTGTGTGTGTGTGTGTGTGTGTGTGTGTGTGTCTAGGGCAGGCGTCCCCAAACTACGGCCAGAGGGCCGCATGCGGCCCCCTGAGGCCATTTATCCGCCCCCCCCGCCGCACTTCAGGAAGGGGCACCTCTTTCATTGGTGGTCAGTGAGAGGAGCACAGTATGTGACGGCCCTCCAACGGTCTGAGGGACAGTGAACTGGCCCCCTGTGTAAAAAGTTTGGGGACGCCTGGTCTAGGGAAAGCTTCCTAAAGAAGGTGCCTCCCGAGCTGCCTGCTGCAGGTAAGTACTACATCAGCAAGGAATGTGAGCAGAATGTTCCACGGCGTGAGTTAGAGGCCTGCAAAACTGGACAGAGCTGGGCAGTGGAGGAAACCACATATTTTTATATTTTTAATTTTTTCTCCAGCTTTGTGCTAGAGGTAGTAAAACATTAACTGTTCCCAAGGATGAGCAGACAGATGAAGATGGGCATCTTAGGAGGGAGTGGAGATGAGGCTGCGTGATCCCTAGAGGCATACTCCATCCCCTCCACACACCTCTGCTTCCTTCAGCCACTCCATTTCTCTCCAGAAGGTTACAGGTTCCCTGCAGAAACAGACTGGAACTTCTCTCCCTCTCTCTCTCCCCTCTGCCTCCCGCCAGCTCTCTCCACACAGGACAGACTACAACTCCCATGATCCACTGCGGCTGCTCTTCTCACAACTGGATTCCAGACTTCATAGGGTCTCATGGGAAATGCAGTCCTCATCGTCTTGCGCATCTCTGTTTTTTTTTCCCACGCATTTCCAGACTTTTCAAGCAATTTAGAGGTGGAAACGCGCCTTGCTATTGTTGAAGCGAACAATACCCTCTTTCTTACAGAGATGGGAGTCGAAGTCCAGAGTGTTGGAGCAACTGAGCCCAGTTGACAGGGCCAAGGTCCTGTGGCCTTGCTGTGAGTGCTGGAAAGATGTTACACTTTGGGGTTTTTTTTCTTGCTTTTCTTCTTTTCTTTAACAGGCGGGGAAACTGGGACCAGAGAAGTTGAAAGTTTGTCCCATATCACGAGTCGGGCTCAGGAGCCAGGACTTGCGGTCTCCCAAGCAGCCCAGAGAGAGAAGGGGTTTGGGGGAAGGGCAGGATCGGTTGTCAGTGGGGTTGCCCAGCCCCCAACCCTGAAGTACCTGCCCCCACCACTGCCCTCCCCGCTCCTCCAGGGTTGAAAAGAGGCGTCTGCGTGAAGATCAATCATTTCCCGGAGGATACGGACTACGACCACGACAGCGCGGAGTATCTACTCCGTACGTGGGGGTCCGGGACAGACGTGGGGAGTGGGGAAATCGCGGGGCCTGGAGGGCGTCGGGGAGGGCGCCCAGAGAAGGGACTGGGACCCCGGCACTTGGATCCACACGCTGTGGTTTAGCTTCCCAGCCAATCCCAGTCCAGATGGTGAGATCCTCTGGTTCCTGATTGGCTGCGTGCTCTTGCTCCCGCCCCCTCCTCTCACCTTGGGGCGGGCTGAGGGAGGATCCCGGGCGCCGATTGGCTGCCTTGCTCTGTCGGGCCCTCGCGGCGACTCTGCGCCGTGACTGGTTGTGGATTCCCGGGCTGGGATTGGCCGTGGGGCAATCTGCGGCGGGGACGGGCCACTCCCGGGAGCCGGCTGGGAAAGCCTGTGTTGCCATTGGTAGCTACTCCGAGAACGCGGCAAATCCTAAATGATGATTGGCTGCGGCCTCAGCCAGGCTCCGAAATTGCAAAATCTGGTTGCCTGGGGTTTTAGGGGTGGGTGGAAAGGAAGGACTGCAGAGAAAGAGAGAAGCGGGGCGCGGGGAGAGAGAGATTAGGGGAAGAAGGGAGGGAGGAAAAGAGGGAGACAGACTCAGCTAGAGGAAGCCAGGCCTAAAGGGAGTGGGGAGGGAGGGAAGGAGGAAGAGAGACCCGGAACATAGAAGCCTGGCAGAAAAGGAGGGGAGAGAGACCCTGGAAGATGGAAGAGACCAGGCAGAAAAAGGGGCAGCGGGAGAGAACTAGGAAGACAGACGAGGCCAGGCAGAAAAAGAGGGGGGAGAGAGCTAGGAAGATAGGTGAGGCCAGGCAGAAAAAAAGAGGGAGGACTTAGGAAGACAGATGAGGCCAGGAAGAAAGGGGTGGGGGGTAGGAAGATAGATGAGGCAGGGAAGATAAGAAGAGAGAGGGGAGACAGACCCAGAAAGACAGATGAAGCCAAGCAATAAAACAAGGGAGGGAGCAGGGAGAGAAGGGAAGAGAAACTCAGAAATAGATTCAGCCTGGTAGAAAAGGGAGGAGGAGGGAGGAAGGAAGGGAGAGAGAGAGAGAGAGAAAAAACCAGACCGATGAAGCCAGGCAGAAAAGGGGTGCGGGAAGGGGTGTGGAGAGAGGTAGTAAGTGATTTGCGGGATATGGAGAGAGAAATTCGCAGACGAGAGGAAGTGAGGGACGAGAAAGAAAGAAAGGGAGAAGATTCATGGAGAAGTTGAGGGAAAACCCGGCAAAGTGATTAAAAGAGGGAGAAAAATATTCCTGGACAGAGAAAAAACGGTCCGAAGTAGAAAGAAAAGGACAAAGAAAAACAGGGAAAGGGCATCAGACCGAGAAACAGAGAAATTTTAAAAACAGGAGAGAGAATCAGGCCACAGTAAAATCAAACACACAGAACACAGCCGGAGAGGGAGGAGGACAGAACTGGCGGGAGGCGCCGCGAGATGGGGGGCCGGGAAGGGGGCGCCGGCGGCCGCCTCTGACCGCCCTGCCTCTCGCTCCTGTTCCTTTCTTTCCTCTCCCGCAGGGGTGGTCCGGGCCTCCAGCATCTTCCCCATCCTTAGCGCCATCCTGCTGCTGCTCGGGGGTGTGTGCGTGGCGGCCTCTCGCGTCTACAAGTCCAAGAGGAACATCATTCTGGGCGCAGGGATCCTGTTCGTGGCAGCAGGTGAGAGGCAGAGGGAGGGGGCGGCCGGGGCGCCCTACCTGCGCGCGCACGTGTGCGTGTGTGTGTGTGTGTGTGTGTGTGTGTGTGTGCGTGTACAAAGCCACCTTGCCCCGAGCACCCCCGGGAGCCCGGAGCCTTCCTAGGCGGTCCCCAAGCTCCATCGCCACTCGCTGGGTAAGGTGGGTGTAGCCTTCGCGACGCCTTCGCAGGAGGGAACCAGCACAGACAGGTGTCTGGCACGTAAGACGCCGAGCGCTTAAGATCCTAAACCCGCCGTCCTGGAGACGGAAGGGGAGGAGCTGGGGAGGGGGTGGGACCTCGAGACAATTGGGCTCTAGAGGCTAGAGAGGCGGGGCTGGGCCTTGGAGGGCGGGCCCAGGAGAGGGAGAAAGTGATCTGGGCGCGCCCCTTAGGAAACCTTGGTGGATCCAAGAGTCGGGGCTGGTCCTGGGAAACCGTCCCGGGAAGTGGAAACTGAAGGGGTTGAACCAGGGAGACTGAATCGGGCCCGTTCCCGTTGCTATTTGGAGAAGGAGAGGCTAGAAAAGACGGGGTGCTGCCTGGAAACGCCAGAAGGGGAGGGGTTATGTCCTTAAGGGCACAGAGAGTCAATCTGGCTGATACCAGCCAGAGGCCGACCAAAGCCAGGCAGTATCTGGGACTGGCCGTCTCAAGAGTTAGGGCCTAGACGGGAGAACTAGGACTGGAACACTCAAGAGACATGACATGAAGGGTAAGACCCCCTTTCCACCCTGCATGAGTAGCACTGGGGAATTCCAGGGGGCAGAGCTTTTTTGGAGAAGTAGAATATAGAGAAGAAGGAGGGCTTTGCATATTTTTTTTTTTTGAGACGGAGTTTCGCTCTTATTACCCAGGCTGGAGTACAATGGCGCGATCTCGGCTCACTGCAACCTCCGCCTCCTGGGTTCAGGCAATTCTCCTGCCTCAGCCTCCTGAGTAGCTGGGATTACAGGCACGCACCACCATGCCCAGCTAATTTTTTGTATTTTTAGTAGAGACGGGGTTTCACCATGTTGACCAGGATGGTCTCGATCTCTTGACCTCGTGATTCACCCACCTCGGCCTCCCAAAGTGCTGGGATTACAGGCTTGAGCCACCGTGCCCGGCCGGCTTTGCATATTTAAAGAGCAGGGTGGCCGGGCGCGGTGGCGCAAGCCTGTAAATCCCAGCACTTTGGGAGGCCGATGCGGGTGGATCACCTGAGGTCAGGAATTCGAGACCAGCCTGGCCAACATGGTGAAACCCCGTCTTTACTAAAACTATAAAAAATTAGCCTGGCGTGGTGCTGGGCGCCTGTAATTCCAGCTGCTCGGGAAGCCGAGGCAGGAGAATCGCTTGAACCCGGGAGGCCGGAGGCTGCAGTGAGTCGGGATCGCGCTATTGCACTCCAGCCTGGGCAACAAGAGCGAAACTCCTCCTCAAAAAAAAAAAAAAAGAAAAGAAAAAGAAGAAGAGCAGGTTATGCTTTGGGGATGGGTCTAGACCTGCAAAGTTCGGGGCTTGGAGGATCTGAAAGTCCGGAGTAGCGGCACCTGGGACCAGGGAGGGCCCTGGCCAAGAGCTGCATGGGGCGGGGTTTGGTAAGCTGGAGGTGGGCCTAGAGTAGAAGACCTGGCCTGCTTTATCAAGGGCAAATTTTTGACCAGCAGGGGAGGGCCTAGAATGGATACCCTCGCAGGAATTATACGATGAAGAGAGAGTTTAGGTAAGTGATAGACAGGGCCTGGTCACAGCAGGATGACATCATTAACAGAGTTCAAAGGAGCAGAGGGGCGGGGCTTGGGGAAAACCCAGGTTTATAACGTTAAGGGTGGCGTTAGACTAACTAGAGCAGGGCCTGGAAACTCATCTCATCAAAGGTGGGTTTTAAACCAGTCAGAGCAGGGCCTGGACTAGCAGCGGTGGATTACCACCAGCCAGGTGGGGTTTAGACCAGCCGAGGTGGGACCTCAGCTAGAGGAGTGGGGTTTATGCCAAGTGGGGGCAGCCCAGAACATCTGGGGGTGGGTCTTAGACCACATAGGGCTGAGTTTAGACCAGCCTGGGCTGGGTTAGGCCAGCAGAGGTGGGGCCTGGGCTCTCCCGGGGCAGGACCTGGACCATCCAGGGCCATGTCGGAACCATTCAGAGCAGGGCCTGGACCACCTGGGAGTGGAGTTTAGACCCTGAGATGGGACTTGAACCAGCCAGGGCCAGGACTACCTAGGATGTTGTCTGGACCATTTGGGGTCCTAGACCGCTTGGAGGTGGCGTTTAGATCAATGGGGGTGGGGTGGGGTCCCACACCAGCTGGGGCTTAGTTTAGACCAGCCAGGGAGAGGTTAGACCAGCACGGGGGTGGGGACGGGGGAGGGGGGCGGAGCCGCCAGGCTATCGGGGGCAGGACCTGGATCATCCTGGGGTTGAGACCATGTGTGGGGGTGCTCAAGCCTATCGGGGCCAGGACCACGCATGATGCGCTCTGGGCCATAGGCGGCCCTCCACCACCTGGGGGAGGGGGTTTAGATCAGCCGGGGCTGGGCTAGCTGGGACTCGGCCTGAGCCCTCTGAGTTGGAGCTTAACTGGCAGGGCCGCGCCTGGAGCATTGGGCGGGGAGTTGCGTTCCCTTTCGGCAGGACTTGGTCCGCCGGATCCAGGACAGGGTCTAGCCCACTTCTGGGTGGGGCCTAGAAGCGCCGCGGGGAGGCGCCTGGGCCCGCTGGCGCCGGCGGACCCGGGCCGGAGGCGGGGCGGGGCGGACCCGGGCCGGGAGCGGGGCTGGGCGGGGCGGGGCGGGGGCGGGGCGGACCCGGGCCGGGGGCGGGGCGGGGCGGGGGGCGGGGCGGACCCGGGCCGGGCCGGGCCGGGCGGGGCCGGGGGTGGCCTCGAGGCTTCCGTCTGACCGTCCCCGCCCAGGCCTGAGCAACATCATCGGCGTGATCGTGTACATCTCGGCCAACGCGGGCGAGCCGGGCCCGAAGCGGGACGAGGAGAAGAAAAGCCACTACTCGTACGGCTGGTCCTTCTACTTCGGCGGGCTGTCGTTCATCCTGGCCGAGGTGATCGGCGTGCTGGCCGTCAACATCTACATCGAGCGCAGCCGCGAGGCGCACTGCCAGTCTCGCTCGGACCTGCTCAAGGCCGGCGGGGGCGCGGGCGGCAGTGGCGGGAGCGGCCCCTCGGCCATCCTCCGTCTGCCCAGTTACCGCTTCCGCTACCGCCGCCGCTCCCGCTCTAGCTCCCGCTCCAGCGAGCCGTCGCCGTCGCGGGACGCGTCTCCCGGCGGCCCCGGGGGCCCGGGCTTCGCCTCCACGGACATCTCCATGTACACGCTCAGCCGCGACCCCTCCAAGGGCAGCGTGGCTGCGGGGCTGGCGGGGGCCGGCGGCGGCGGCGGCGGCGGCGGCGGCGGCGCCGGGGGGGCGTTCGGCGGCGGCGGCGGCGGCGCGGCGGGGGGCGGCGGGGGCGGCGGCGGCAGCGGCGGGGCGGGCGCCGAGCGGGACCGCGGGGGGGCGTCCGGCTTCCTCACGCTGCACAACGCCTTCCCCAAGGAGGCGGGCGGCGGCGTCACGGTCACGGTCACCGGGCCGCCCGCCGCGCCCGCGCCCCCCGCGCCCCCCGCGCCCTCCGCGCCCGCCCCCGGGACCCTGGCCAAGGAGGCCGCCGCCTCCAACACCAACACGCTCAACAGGAAAACCACGCCCGTGTAGGGGCGCGGCGGGGGAGCCGAGGGGCGTGTCCGGGGCGCGTGCGCGGGCGCGCGTGCATCGAGGCTGCTGGGGTCGGGGACGCCCCCGCCGTCCCCCGAGAGCGCGCTGGAGACTGCTGCGCCCGCCCCCGCCCCCCCTTCCGCCCCCCTCCTCCTCGGCAGCAGGAACCCCGAGGGAGGGGGCAGGGGAGGAAGGGGGCCGCCGTGAGGGAGCGTCGTGTTTTATTTTTTTGTGGGGTCTATGGGGAGGGGGGGAGGGCCATGGTGTTTTTTGCAGTTTCGAGATGTTTTCTTTTTCATGTTTTGCTGTGTGCATGGGGGGCGAGGCGGGGGGAGGGGAGGGAGGGACTCCCAGCCCAGCCCAGCCCAACTCCTGGAGAGGGGCCCATAACACACGAATACATAGTTACATCCACAAACTATATACGCCCTATATAAAGAGACACAGCGGAGGGACGCGGAAGAGCAGAGAGAAGGGTTGGACGCGGGCATTCATTCGTTTTTTTCATTCATTATTCCACAAGGGCTTATTAAGCGCCTACTGTGTACTAGGCACTGGTACAGAAGGCGACCTTGGAGCAGGGGACACGAACGATGCACAGAAAGGGCCTCTTCATTCATTCATTCATTACCGGCGATGAATTTGTGCGCTTTAAAGAGCTAGGCCTTGTGCTCCCTGCTCAGCGTGCAGGAGGCAGGAAAGCAGCCAGGAGCCCCGACATCCTCATAGAATAACATCTGGTGCATGAGACGCATTAATCGGTCATGTACATACACAACAAATTACAGTTAGGCCATAGGAGAAACGAGATGTTACGAAATGCACCATCCGGGCAGCCTAACCCCGTTGAGAGGGAGAGATTTCAGTGGACACTGAAAGGGTGAGAAGAAGCCGGCAGGGCAGAGCTGGTGTGGAGTGTGGCAGGCAGAGCAGCAGGTGCAAAGGCCCTGAGGCAGGAAGGTGCTTGCAGCCAGGGCTGAAACCTATGAGCCAGGTGATTGTGGAACAAGATGAGGCTGGGGCTGCAGACAGGGCCAGATTATACAGGGGCTTGTCGGTCAGGAGTCTAGATTTTATTCTCGGGGCAGTCAGGGCCATGGAATAGGTTTAAGCAGGAGCCTAATGTGAGTGGTGTACAAAGGGAAGACAGGGACTTGGAGACAAGAGTAAGAGGCAGAGATGCGCTGAAATACAGCACCACACCCAGGCACTGGCCCTTGGAGCTCACGCTTTCATGGGAGGAAGCACATAATTACACACACATTGAAGCATAGGGATGGTGTCTGGTGTGCAGAAGAAACCTTGGGGCATAGAAACTCCTGTCATTCATTCATTCAGCCTCTCGCCCATTGCCATTTTCGAGTATCTGCTAAGGTACCAGGAAGTGCGTGAGGATCCAGATCCCCAGATCAGGGGTGACACAGGCCCTAGCCCTGCTCTTAAGCAGTTTTTTGTCATCAAACGCCACCATCCAGTCAGGGCAATCAGTGCTGAACAGGGACCACAGTGGGTACCATGGCACACGGTGGACAGAGTGACCAACTGCGAGGAGTGGGCGGCACTCCGGGGAGGCTTCCTGGAGAATAGGATGGCCATCCTGGGTCTTGAAGAGATGAGTGGGTGCCTCCCGGGTGATGAAGGGCATAAGAAAGACATGGGGCCAAAGAACAACTTGGGTGAAAACCTGGGAAAGTGAATGAACATGACGTACTGGGGTCAGTGCTCATAGTTCTGGGATGCTCATGTACAAGGTGGGGCTGGAAGATGAGACCGGGAAAGTAGCCATAAGCCAGAATCTAAAGGTGCCAATGTGGCCAGGCACAGTGGCTCATGCCTGTAATCCCAGCACTTTAGGAGGGTGAGGCTGGAGGATCCCTTGAGCCCAGGAGTTTGAGACCAGCCTGGATATCATGGGGAAACTCTGTCTCCACAAAAAATCAAAAAATTAGCCGGGCGTAGTGGAGCACACCCGTGGTCACTGCTACTCAAAAGGCTGAAGCACGAGCATCACTTGAACCCAAGAGTTCAAGGCTGCAGTGAGCTAGGATTGTGGCACTGCACTCCAGCCTGAGCAATAGGATGAGACCCTGTTTCAGAAAGAAAAGAGAAAAAGGTGCCTGAGTTCCAGGTGGAGGGATTGAGGCTTGATTCTGAGGATGGTGAGAGAGGATGACAGTTGAGCTGGGGTGGAGAGGAGGGGATGGGTTTGCAGGTCACTGAGAAAGCAGAGGGGACAGTGCTTGGTAGGTTTCCTTTCCATGTTTGCTCAGCACGTGTTTCCTGAGGCCTCCCCTGTGCCAGGCCTTGTGCTGGGCGGTGCTGGGATTGTAGAGGTGATTTTGATCTTGCCCTGCTCTCAAGGGGCTCCCAATCTGGTGGGAAAACAGCCACAGATGCAGCATGAGGAGGGCGGTGGCAGCGAAGGTGCCAGGCTGCCAGGGACTGTGCCGGCCTTTATCTTGAGCATATGGGGCTGTGGAGGCGCTCAAGTCAGAGCTGGGTGTTCAGAATTTTTCTCCGAGGCCTGTGTGGAAGGACCAGGGAGAGGGAGACTGAAAGTCAAGGTCTCTAGGAAGAATTCTGCCAAGGCAGTTTGAGGAAGAGATGCTGGGAAATGCAGGAAAAGGAATACAAATCATTGAGATAGAGAAGCGCTGAGAGAGGATACATGGAGAGGCGAGGGACGCGGGAGATGGCGTTGAAAGAGAGGAATCGCTGGGTGTGGTGGCTCCTAATCCCAGCACTTTGGGAGGCTGAGTGCCTTCTTTGGGAGGACTGCTTGAGCCCAGGAGTTCCAGACCAGCCAACATGTTGAAATGTTGTCTACCAAAAATACAAAAATTAGCCGGGTATGGTGGTGCATGCCTGTAGTCCCAGCTACTCAGGAGGCTGAGGCGAAAGGATCGCTTGGGCCTGGGAGGGTGAGTCTGCAGTGACCTGTGATGGCATCACTGCAGTGTAGCCTGGGCAAAAGAGCAAGACTCTTGTCGAGAGAGAGAGCGCAAATCTTTGCTGGAAGAGGATTGGTTAGGGGAGAGTGGATTCTAGAGTTCGAAGACCAAACAGAATGAGAGAGAGAGAGAGAGGGGGGGGTGGAAGGTGGGCAGGAGGAAAATCGAGACAGGGAGGAGGGAGTGCAGGGTGGGGGGAGGGCAGCAGAGACCAAAACTAGTTGAATCCCAGAGAAAAAGTAAAAGACGGGAAGGTGATAAAAGAGAGAAAAGGAGGAGAGAGACAGACAGGCGCACAAATCAGAGAAGCCCCAGAGATAACAAAAACACAACCACAGAGATAGAGACAGAGGGGGAGAGGGAAGCTGGAGGAAGACTCAGAGATGGCCCGGTGCGGTGGCTTATGCCTGTAATCCCAGCACTCTGGGAGGCCAAGGCAGGTGGATCACGTGAGGTTGGGAGTTCAAGAACAGCCTGACCAACATAGTGAAACCCCGTCTTTACTAAAAATACAAAACTAGCCAGGCGTAGTGGCATATTCCTGTAATCCCAGCTACTTGGGAGGCTGAGGCAGGAGAATCACTTGAACTCAGGAGGCGGAGGTTTCAGTGAGCCAAGACCGCACCACTGCAGTCCAGCCTGGGCAACAAGATCGAAACTCCATCTCAAAAAAAAAAAAAAAAAAAAAAAAAAAAAAAAAAACAACTCAGAGATTCGCACAAAAAGCAACATGGAGACTCAGAAGCAAGCATAGCTTCAAGGAATGATCCATTTCTTGTGTTTTTTTCCCCAGTATTCAAGAATATTTATTGAGTGCCAATCTGTTCCAGACCCAGTCTAGGCCTAGCGGATATGGCAGACAGGGGCCTGCTCTCCTGAAACTCACCGAAGAGATAAACAATAAATAATAGTTGAGTAACTGAAAAGTGCTCTAAAAATTAAGCTAGGAGGTCAGCTGCAGTGGCTCATGTCTGTGATCCCAGCACTTTTTGAGGCCAAGGCCGGTGGATCACTTGAGGTCAGGAGTTCGAGACCAGCCTGGTCAACCTGGTGAAACCCCATCTCTACCAAAAAATTAAAAAACTAGCCAGGTGTGGTGGTGTGCCTGCAGTCCCAGCTACTTGGGAGGCTGAGGAGGGAGAATCACTTAAACTCGGGAGGCAGAGGTTGCAGTGAGCTGAGATCGCACCACTGCACTCCAGCCTGGGCAACAGTGAGACTCCGTCTCAAAACAAACCGCCAAAATTAAGAGCAGGGCATAGTAACAGAATGACAGAGCAAGGGCGACTTTAGATGAAGTGCCTCGCAGAGACATGGATTGTGAGAAGGAAAGAGGTGATAAAGTCTGGGGCCAGGCCTTTGCCCACCAGAGGCAGCCCCAAAGCCCTGAGGAGCAGCAGATCTTCCAGGGGGCCGGTGGGGTGAGCGGATCAAGCATGGGTCAGAAGCACAGGGTAGAGACTGATCAGTTAGGGCCATGGACCCCGGGAAGAAATCTGAATTTTATTCTAGATCTGTTGGGAAGCCCTCTGAGGGTTCTGAGCACAGACATGTCATAATCATATATTTTATTTATTTATTTATATTTATTTTGAGAGAGTCTTCCTCTGTCTCAGGCTGGAGTCCAGTGGCCGATCTCGGCTCACTGCCAACCTCCACCTCCCGAGTTCAGGCGATTCTCCTGCCTCAGCCTCCTGAGTAGCTGGGATTACAGACATGCGCCACCACACTCAGCTAATGTTTTTGTATTTTTAGTAGACATGGGATTTCACCATGTTGGCCAGGCCGATCTCGAATTCCTGGCCTCAAATGATCTGTCTGCCTCGACCTCCCAAAGTGCTGGGATTGCAGGTGTGAGCCACCGCGGCCAGCTTCATGTTTTTATTTAAACAGGAACAGCAGAATCACATCGCCGTGCTGAGCATACGTAGACCTCAGGAGTCGAAGTGGAAGGAGCAGGTAGCCGGCTGTTGCCTTCCTCTGGTTGAGGCTGCTATAGGCCTGGACCACAGTGGAGTTAGTGGGACGGAGAAAGAAGTGGAAGAAGGGCATGGGATTTTGGAGGCAGAGCCTGCAGTGGCGGTGAACGGGATGTCACAGGGGAGGGAAGGAAAGGGAACCAGGAAGAGAAGAACTCTTTGAAATTGGACACGCACATGTCTGATGGGCACTGATGAGCATTGTTAACAGGAGAGGGAAGACTAGGATCAGGAAAGAGGCTTTGGGAGGGACAAACCATGGCTTCTCTTTTGGATGTGTCGAGTTAGAGACGCCTTCGAGAAATCCGAGTTGGGGTATCAAATAGCCGGTTGGATACGTGAGACTGGAGTTTTGGGGAAAGAGAGGTCATGGCTCAAAATTGTAAGTTCTGGAAATGTCAGCATGTAGGGGACATTTAACGCCACAGGACTGGGTGACATGACCCAGCAGGTGAGTGAGGACAGAGAATGACCCTGACCAGAGCCTTGGGGACATCTGCCTCTGGGGAGGAAGCCAGTGTAGCAAAGTGAGCTTGGGAGGGACAGCGAGGTAGGCTGAAACCGGGAGGGTCACGGAGGACAAATGCACACTGGTGTTTCAAGAAGGGGAGGAGACAGCTGGCTGTGCCAAGTGCCACTGAGAATCGGAGAAGGATCCAGAGAGCAGAGTGATCATTAGGTTTGATGACGTGGATGGGGTTGGTGATCTTGATAAGAGGCCAGTTCAGTGCAGTGGTGGGGATGGAAGCCCTGCTGGAGCAGAGGGGAGAGAGAATTTGGGGAGAAGGCAGAGGGAAAGGGAATTCAGGCAATTGTGTATGTGTGTGTGTGTATATAACTGACACAGAGGCTGGGCACAATGGCTCACGGACTGTAATCCCACCACTTCGGGAGGCCACAGTGGGTGGACCACTTGACGTCAGGAGTTCGAGACCAGCCTGGCCAACATGGTGAAACCCCATCTCTACTAAAAATGCAGAAATTAGCCAGGCATGGTGGTGGGTGCCTGTAGGCCCAGCTACCTGAGAGGCTGAGGCAGGAGAATCGCTTGGGTCTGGGAGGCAGAGCCTGCAGTGAGCTGAGATCACACCATTGCACTCCAGCCTGGGTGACAGCGAGACTCTGTCTCAAAAAAGAAGAAAAGTTAAAAAAAAAAAAAAAGATCCTGAAAGAAAACAGGGAGAAATAAAGATAGGGAGATAGAAGGCAGAAAAATGCACCCTGCAATTAGCTGTCACAGCAGGCAGGAGCCAGAGAGATGGGGAGGCCCAGGGCCAGGAGGGGAAGATGAATCAGGGGCAGGGAAGAGGGGATGCCATCAGCGAGGCTCTGGCAGATCCCCTAGCCCGGGCCGCTCTGCCCGGCTCCTGCCTCTTGCTGCTGTCGTGCCAGGCATGCTCTGGGATTCCCCCTGTAGACCCTGTCAAGACCTCTTGAGGTGAAGGGGAAGAACAGGTTTTCATCATTCATTTTCAGAAATAAGCATTCATTCAGTTCTCAGAAATACATCCTGGCCAGGCAGTGGCTCATGCCTGTAATCCTAGCACTTTGGGAGGCCAAGACAGGAGGACTGCTTGAGGCTTGGTGTTTGAGACCAGCCTGGGCAATATAGTGAGACCTCGTCTCTACAAAAATAAAAAATTAGCTGCAGCGTGGTGGCTCATACCTGCAGTCCTAGGTACTCAGGAGCCTGAGGTGGCAAGATGGCTTGAGCCCAGGAGTTTGAGGTTGCAGTGAGCTATGATTGCACCAGTGCAGTTCAGGCTGGCCCACAGAGCAAGACCCTGTCTCAGAAGCAAAAAATAATTTAAATAAATAAATAAATAAATAAATAAAAATAACAAAATAGCCGGGCGCGGTGGCTCAAGCCTGTAATCCCAGCACTTTGGGAGGCCGAGGCGGGTGGATCACGAGGTCAAGAGATCGAGACCATCCTGGTCAACATGGTGAAACCCCGTCTCTACTAAAAATACAAAACATTAGCTGGGCATGGTGGCACGTGCCTGTAATCCCAGCTACTCAGGAGGCTGAGGCAGGAGAATTGCTTGAACCCAGGAGGCGGAGGTTGTGGTGAGCCGAGATCACGCCATTGCACTCCAGCCTGAGTAACAAGAGCGAAAACTCCGTCTCAAAAAAAATAAATAAATAACAAAATATTTCCTGAGGACTTCCAAGTACCAGGCTCTGCAATCTCAGAGCCACCTCTATTCCATGTCTGCCCTTGGAGGGGGACCGGCCAGGCAGGCATTGAAGAAACGAAGCAGGCCCCTTCCCTAGCTGGGGCGGGGATGTCTGTGTGCCGCCCTATCATTTCCTCTGGTCATTCCTTTGCTCATTCATCCATCCATTCATTCAAGTCACCCCATGCACATTTTCCAAGACTGCCTGTGACCTGGCCCTGTGCTGGGTACAGCTGAGGATGCCAAGGTGAATTCCTCCTGTGCCCGGCCCCTGCCTCAGTCTGCTGGGAGAACCAGACACCGACAATCACATTGCAGGGAAACACGTGCTCCAACAGGAAAGTCCAGAGCAGGGGGTGGACAGAGAGGGCCAGCGTGCACCAGAGCCTAGCTCAGGCCAGGAACCAGGCCTGGTCTGGAACAGCCAACTGTGGGAGAAGGAGGAGTTGGTGAAAGGTGGGTCCTACCTGGACCGTCCGCAGAAGGGCTGAGGGGTAGGGGGTGAGGGGTTGAAGATCAGGCCCTGCTGCCATGCCACATGGCTGTCCTCTGTCCCTGCCCCTGGGGGAGCTGAAACTGCATGGACGGTCCCCCAGGGGTGCCCCGTCTAATAAACTCGATGAAGAGGAGTGCTGCTCTCATTCTGCGCCCTGACAGCTGCCCCTCCCTGAGGCCTGCGCTTTCTCCAACATGGGAACCAGTCCCTCCATCCTTCCAGACCCAGGGTTCTGGCCCCAGTCTCTTCCTCCCCCAGGCCCAGGAGTCTGGGTCTGCCAACCCCATGACCAGGAGTCCAGGCTCCCCGGCCCTCCTCCTCCCTCAGACCCAGGAGTCCAGGCCCCTAGCCCCTCCACCATCAGACACAGGAGTCCACGCCCCTAGCCCCTCCGCAGTCAGACCCAGGAGTCCAGGCTCCCCGGCCCTCCTCCTCCCTCAGACCCAGGAGTCCAGGCCCCTAGCCCCTCCACCATCAGACACAGGAGTCCACGCCCCTAGCCCCTCCGCAGTCAGACCCAGGAGTCCAGGCTCCCCGGCCCTCCTCCTCCCTCAGACCCAGGAGTCCAGGCCCCTAGCCCCTCCACCATCAGACACAGGAGTCCACGCCCCTAGCCCCTCCGCAGTCAGACCCAGGAGTCCAGGCTCCCCGGCCCTCCTCCTCCCTCAGACCCAGGAGTCCAGGCCCCTAGCCCCTCCACCATCAGACACAGGAGTCCACGCCCCTAGCCCCTCCGCAGTCAGACCCAGGAGTCCAGGCTCCCCGGCCCTCCTCCTCCCTCAGACCCAGGAGTCCAGGCCCCTAGCCCCTCCACCATCAGACACAGGAGTCCACGCCCCTAGCCCCTCCGCAGTCAGACCCAGGAGTCCAGGCTCCCCGGCCCTCCTCCTCCCTCAGACCCAGGAGTCCAGGCCCCTAGCCCCTCCACCATCAGACACAGGAGTCCACGCCCCTAGCCCCTCCGCAGTCAGACCCAGGAGTCCAGGCTCCCCGGCCCTCCTCCTCTCTCAGACCCAGGAGTCCAGGCTCCCACCCCTCCACTTTCAGACTCAGAAGTCTGAGCCCCCAGCCCCTCCACCTTCAGACCCAGGAGTCCAGGACCCACGAGACCAGGTTCCTCTTGCCTCAGATCCAAGATTCTGGGCACTAAGGCCCCTTCCTGTACCACTCAGAATTTGGGGTACCGAGGCTTCTCCCTCGGCCCCAAGACTCCCTGTATCACCCCCTCCTCCCTGAGTCCCCCGGTCCTGCCTCCCGCCCCAACTCCCTGCTAACCCCAGTGAGACTGCCCCACCGGTCTGCTGCTGCCCAGGAGACTGGGCAGCTGGGACTCTGGGCGCTGCTCTACTCCCTTTGGGAAATGAAAGTTCCATCAGACTCGGCCCTTTCGGACCGGCCCCAGCCCCTCCTCCCAAGGCTGCCTCCCTCCTCCCGCCTCATCCCCTTAAAATACCCGGGATCCCTATGGCAACAGGCGCCCGGCGACAGGTGCGGGTGTTATTTACGGGTCAAGCCCGAAATAGCCCCAAGGAAGGAGGGTGGGGGTGGGGGGCGGGCGGAGGCCAGGCCGGTGGCGGTGGCGGTGGCGGGCAGGGCCGGACGCTTCGGAGGCAGCGCGGAGCTGGGGTCGGCGCGGCGCCGAGGCAGGAGAGCGAGGGGGGCTCCGGCCCGGGAGTCGGGGGTGGGAGCCCCTGGGGGGGGCCCTGGCCTGGAGCTGAGCCTGGCGCGGACCCGGCCGGGAAGGCCCTGGGAGCCCGGGGGAGGGAGGCGGACTGATCCCGAAGGGGCCTCTGGACCGCGGGGGGGCCTCCGTCCGGGTTTTCTGAGTCGCAGTGTGGACCACAGCCCCTTGGTGTGAGCCCCAGCGGGGACCCACCCCCCACCTGAGCCCTCGGGGAGGCCCCTCAGCCTCCGTCTCTAGACTCCACTCTGTCTTCCAGCCACCAGGCCCTTTCTCAGCCTCGGCAGAGACCGTGGGTCTTTTCTGAATGGCCTGGGAGATCCCCATTCCCTTTTCCTGAATTCCAACGGGGCCCGGTCCTCCTCTGAGCCGCAGCCAGGGCTCCATTCCTACCTTCTGTGGATGCCGGGGTCCCACTGCTTCTCCGAGACCCGGAGAGAATTCCCGCCTCCCCTTGGGAGCTTCCCGGGACCCCCAGGTCTTCCTTTTCCGAATCCCAGAGTGACCCCCAGTCCTCTCTTCTCAAACTCTAAGCCCAAGGGAACCCAAGCCGCATCTCCTGCAAACACACGGAGGACCTCAGGTCCCCTTCCTGGGTCCCCCCAAACTCTTAGCCCTAGTGGGGTGCTCAGATCTCTCAGGAAAACCAGTTTCCCTTTTGTGAAACCCCCAGCAGGGGCACCAAAGCCCCTGGGAGCTGCAGGGAGCTTCAGCTGGCGCCAGTTCTTCCTCTGGAGCTCTTGGGGGCACCCCTCCTGGGAACCCAGGCTCCATCTTTAAGTCGGGGGCGGGGGGCTTGCTTTTCCTCTGGTCCCCATCTTCTTGGCCAAGTTCTTCAGGGCCGCCTAGACCCTCCTCTGAACCCCAGGGGCTTCCCCAGACCCGGGGATCGTTTTTCTGTTCTGAACCCCAGAGGCAATCTCGACTTTCCCATCTGAGGCTCCAGAGAGGACTTGGCTCTCCCTCTTTCATACCCAGGGGAAACTGAGTCCCTCACCCCCTGCAAGACCCCAGGCCGCTCCCCGCTCCCGGCCCTGGAGGCCCCTCCTCGGCTCTGCCTCCCCCCCCTTCTCGACCCCACGGCCAGAAGATGATGATGTGGTCCAACTTCTTCCTGCAAGAGGAGAGCCGGCGGCGGGGGGCCGCAGGCCGGCGGCGGGCGCAGGCGCAGCTCGGGTCGGGGCTGACACCCGAGCGCGAGGGGAAGGTGAAGCTGGCGCTGCTGCTGGCCGCCGTGGGCGCCACGCTGGCGGTGCTGTCCGTGGGCACCGAGTTCTGGGTGGAGCTCAACACCTACAAGGCCAACGGCAGCGCCGTGTGCGAGGCGGCCCACCTGGGGCTCTGGAAGGTGTGCACCAAGCGGCTGTGGCAGGCGGACGTGCCCGCGGGCAGGGAGACCTGCGGCCCCGCAGAGCTGCCCGGAGGTAAGCGGCCGCCCCGCTGAGCCCAGGGAGACCGGGAGGGAGCGGGGCCCGTGTCCCAGGAGAAAGCCCGAGCCCGAGGAGGAGAGAGCTTGCATCCCAGTAAGCGCAGGTGCCCACAGTGACCTCTGCTCTCCGAAACTGCTGAGAGAGAGCTAGCTCCCAGACACGGCCTAGGCCCCTAGCTGCTTACCCCCAGAGAACCCGTGCCTTAGAGCTTGCTTTCCTGCTGCAGACTGTACCCCAAGACCAGAATGTGCCTGCAGAGAGTCTATGCCCCAGGCCATCCCGTACCCCTAGACCAGGCTGTGACCTGAGCCTCCCAGACAAGGCTGTACCCCTATTCTGTGCCTCTAAAGAGAGCCTGTGCCCCAAGACCATTCTGTGTTGCCAAAGTCTGTGTCCCAAGACCATCCTGTACCCCAACTATCCTGTACCCCCAAATCAGCCTGTCTCCAGCTACAGTCTCCATGCCTCCCAGAACAGTCTATACCCCCAAACCAGCCTGCGTGCTTCCACCAGCCTGTGCCCTCAGATCAGCCTGCAACTCCAGACGAGGCTATGGTTCCAGACAATTCTGTGACACTCCCCCCCCAAAGACCCTGCACCCACACCGCCAGTGTTCCTAGTCATCACTGGGTCCCCCCCCCCCCCCCAGGCCAGTCTCTGGCTCTAGAGACAGGCTGTGTCCCTAGAAAAACCTTGCCGGTGTCCCCAGACCCAGCCTGTGATTCCAGACACAGCTGGTGTCCTCAGAAAGCCGGTGCCCACCCCAGGCAGCCTGTGCCCTCTGGAAATGCCTGCACCCTGGAGACAGCCTGTGCCCACTCTGCCTGTGCCCACACACAGCCTGTGTCCTTGGAGAGGCAGCCTGGGCTCCTGTGTCAGCTTCCTCTTCCCAGTCTGGAGACAGCTTGCACTCCCATCCTGCGAGCCCGGGGGAGACAGACGCCCACCCCAAAGCAGAACCGATGCCTGTTTGCCTGTTTCCACCGACTGCTTCCACCAAACCAAGCTCTCACCAGAAACCGCCCAACCGCCCAGGCCAGACCTTGTGCCTTCCCTGCGATGTTCTTCATTTCTTATCCTCTTCCCTCCACATACCCAGACTGACTATTTCAGCCTTTCTCATTTTCTCTGAGACATACTCCCATACTCCTCACTTTCCCACATAGTGGCTGTTTTACCCCGGGGATGCCGGAAAGCTGTCCCATACCTCCGTGACAGGACATGCCATGGCTTGTACTTAACTTATACCAGGGGGATATACTGTACCTCTTGGGACCTGGATGAAATCTCGTTCTCCACTGACTCCCCAGAGCCCATTCGGGCCGTCATATATGTGATCACCCAGATGAGATCTCCGGCACTCTGTGCTCCCCAGAGCGGGCCGTATAACCTCAGTGCCCCTCAAAGAATATGGCCTATTTCCCTGGGCTCCATAGGAGAGTTCCCTCATCCTTCACTTCTCCAGATGTGACATCTTATATGTGTAGAGTGCAAAATAGGATGTCCCAAGCCCACCACAGGACAGCAGGGCTGTCAATGCCCATTTGGTGGCCAGTAAGCTACCCTTAATCGTTTTGTTTCTGCAGATGGGCTGTCTCTGGCCCCTCAGGCTCTCAAACAGGATGATCCCAAACTTTTGCAAAAGGGGAGACCCAGTAATAAGAATATTAGATGCTTATGTCATGCCTGGTTCTGATCGAAGTGTTTCCTGTACATTAACTCGTTAACCATCATGTGTCTAGCCTATGAGTTCTTATCATCATTCCCATTCCAGAGAAGAGAAAAATGAGGAGCAGGAAATCTCAGTGGCTCGGTCTGTGCACCCAGGATAGTTACATGGAATTTGTTTTGTTGCTGTTGTTGCTGTTTGTTTGTTTGAGACAGAGTTTCGCTCAGCACCCCCAGGCTGGAGTACAATGGCATGTTCTCGGCTCACTGTAACCTCCGCCTCTCAGGTTGCAGAGGTTCTCCTACCTCAGCCTCTCGAATAGCTCACAGGCGCACATCGCCACGCCCAGCTAATTTTTTGTAATTTTAGTAGAGACCACGTTGGTCAGGCTGGTCTCAAACCCCCGACCTCAGGTGATCTGCCTGCCTCGGCCTCCCAAAGTGTTGGGATGACAGGTGTGAGCCACCTTGCCTGGCCTCGGTGTTTGGATGTTTAAATCAAATTATTGTTAATTATTATTATTGTTTTCGTCAGCGCTGTGTTTTCACATCTCCCCATCTTGCTTTAGGTTCTTCTAGTTCATGGCTATGTGTACCACATACATTTTCACAAGGAGTGTCTCTCTCGTTGACTTGTTCGTCCCCTTATTAGAGGAACAAGTAAATGACACGGACAGTCCCTGTGAAAATCTCTGGCTTGATTCTGACTCCGTGTTACTTATAAACAGTGCTGCTGTAAATGTCGGAATATATGTTCCTGGTTGGTTTTTTTTTTTTTTTTTTTTTTTTCCTGGAGGCATATCCGGCAATGAAACTGTTGAGCCACAGGGTATGAACATTCTTCATTTCATAAAGTACCTCAGAGCGCCTTCCCAAAAGACTAGTAGTACCCGTTTATACACGGAGTTTCCTCTTATCTATTCAAACGCTTGATACTACCCTTTTCATGTTGGCCAGCCTAATTGATGGAAAGTCGTGCCTCCTGCTGATTCAAGCTGCGTCTCTCTGATCCCTGGTGAAGTGGGGCATCTCCTCACGGACTCGTCAGTTACCCAGCCTTCCTCTTCTGTGAATTACTATTCATACCCTTCGCCCACTTGTCAATTGGGTTCTCTCTCTCTTCTTGCTAGTCCATGGGAGCTCTTTGTGTCTTCTTTGCAGGAATCCTTCCTGAGACAGGAATGCTTTCTGAGTCTGTTACTCTTCTGCTACTTGTATCTCAGTATCCTTTGTTGAGTCAAATGATTATCCATTTGTAATCCCCCTTAAACCCCTCAACAAACCCATACGAAGGGGCCAGGAAAGAGATTATTATTTCATTTTCAAAAGGAAGAACTAGAGGCCCGGAGAGGCTAATGGCACACTCAGGGCTGCAGGTCTGGCATGCAGAGCCCTGGGTAGGAGTCCCAGCCCCCGGATGGCGCTGGCTTTCACATCTCTGGCCATGATTTTTTCCTCTGTGTATCAGGGATGGTAATGTTCAAGTTTTAGGCTCCTGTGGGCTGTGTGAAGTGTCCAGCCCTGAGCTTACCCAAGGGACCTCATATCCTCACATCTCTTATTTCTCTCTCCTGCTTCCACAGAAGCAAACTGCACCTATTTTAAATTCTTCACCACGGGGGAGAATGCATGCATCTTTCAGAGAACCACAAAGAAAGGTGAGAACGCTTCACCCCATGGTGGGCAACGGGGGAGTGGGGGTGAAATGCTGAACGTGCTAGAGGAGTTCTAGAGAGAATTATCCCCTCCTCTGCTTTACCCCAGGGCGGGCCTCATGTTGAGAATCTGTGGCTGTCCCCAGGGGAGTGCTGGCGGGAGAGTTAATGATGGGGACATGCTGCCCCAGAGCCCTGTGCTTGGAACTCTTTTTGTTTTGAGATAGTGTCTTGCTCTGTCGCCCAGGCTGGCGTGCAGTGGCTCAATCTCAGCTCACTGCAACCTCTGCCTCCCGGGTTCAAGCGATTCTCCTGCCTCAGCCTCCCAAGTAGCTGGGACTACAGGCATCTGCAACCATAACCAACTAATTGTTGTATTTTTACGAGAGGCGGGGTTTCACCATGTTGACCAGGCTGGTCTCGAACTCCTTCCTGACCTCAGGTGATCCACCTGCCTCAGCCTCCCAAACTGCTGGGATTATAGGCATGAGCCACTGCACCCAGCCATGCCTAGAACTCTTAACCCATCTCTGCCTGTGCCACGTTCTGGGTAACCATGGGCAAGTCGCAGCCCCTCTCTGTGGATAGCACCTGGACATCTCACACATGCGCACATATCACGTGCTAACCACAGCGCTGGACACTCCATTTGTAAGACCTCCGGCCCTCGCAGTAGCTCTGCAGGGTGGGGACTTTATCTTCCATCTTCCAGAAGCCCAGGAATGATTACAATTATTTTTCTCATGAAGTGGCAGAGGCGGAAGCAGGATTGAGACCCAAATAATTCTGACTCTCAAGGAGCACGCTACTAAAGAATCTTCTGAGGCCAGGTGCCGTGCTCATGCCTGTAATCCCAGTGCTTTGGAGGCGGGCAGATCACTAAGGCCAGGAATTTGAGACCAGCGTGGCCAACATGGCGAAACCCCATCTCTACTAAAAATACAAAAATCAGCCGGGCATGGTGGCACACATCTATAACCTCGCTACTCGGGAGGCTGAGGCAGGAGAATCACTTGAGCCTGGGGAGGCAGAGGTTGCACTGAGCTGAGATTGTGCCACTGCACCCAAGCCTGGGCCACAGAGCAAGACTCCATCTCACAAAGGAAAAAAAAAAAGATTCTGAGAACACCCTGTTTCTGTGCTGACCCACGTGGCTCCAGCACACCTGGAGTGTTGCAGGTGTGATGTGGAACTGAGTTTCTAATTGTGTTTAATTTAAATTTATTTCACGTGGAGGCCACATGCGGCAAGTGGTGGATGTACTGGAAAATGCTGCTCTAAACACTTCACACTTTAAAAAAAATTCATCTTGTATTTGAATTTTTATTTAATTATTTTATTTTTGAGATGGAGTCTCACTCTTTCACCCAGGCCAGAGTGCAGTGGCACTATCTCGGTTCACTGCAACCTCCGTTTCCCAGGTTCAAGCAATTCTTCTGCCTCAGCCTTCCGAGTAGCTGGGATTACAGGTGTGCGCCATCACGACCGGCTCATTTTTGTATTTTCAATGGAGATAGGGTTTTGCCATGTTAGCCAGGGTTGGTCTCAAACTCCTGACCTCAAGTGATCCTCCCACCTCGGCCTCCCAAAGTGCTGGGATTGTAGATGTCTGGTTCACAGGAGGGAATTTAGACTGAGAAGGGTTCAGCCTAAATTCCTACTGAAAACTGGAAAATCCTACAAGAATCTTCCATACACGAAGTGGCTGGGGAGAATTCCAACCTGGATAATTCCATTCCGCTGTAGCACACTGACTTTGGCATTGTCTCCCACACACCTTACTGCCTTAGTTTCCTCACCTGTAAACCAGTGGTAACCAGATCCTAAATAAATATTGGCAATTTTCAACTCTTTCTCATCCTGGCCCTCTCCTCCCTTTGCTCGGTGACTTTAGAGAAATAACTGACCCTTTCTGAATCTTAATTCCTTCAACCGTGTAAGTAAAATGTTGGATTGGATGATCTTCTACTTGATAATTCTTCTCTCATCCCGAATCTTACATCTTCCCGGTCCTGGGTTCCTATCGGTGAATCCTCCTCATTCCCTACATCCCATGCTTTCTCTTCTTTCCTCTCCCCTCCTGGCAGAGGTGAATCTGGCAGCTGCGGTGATAGCAGTGCTGGGCCTGGCAGTCATGGCCTTGGGGTGCCTCTGTATCATCATGGTGCTCAGTAAAGGTGCAGAGTTCCTGCTGCGAGTTGGAGCCGTCTGCTTTGGCCTCTCAGGTGAGGGTTCAGAGCCTGGAGGCTGAGGACATTGCATGCCGGGAGCATCTCCAGACGGTGTTGCATGCCGGCAGATGGGCTGTCCGTGCACTGTTGCATACAGGGAGATGGGGGCTCTCTGCACTGCTGCATGCTGGGAGGAGGGTCTCCACACACTGTTGCATGCTGGGAGGTGGGATCTCCAAGCCCTGTTGCATGCTTGGAGTTGAGGGTAAGTCCAAGGTCTATAGTAGGTTCAAAGACGGGAGAACCCCAGCAACAGGGGTAAGAATTGGAGGGTGTCCAAACACCACTTTAGATTTGGACTTGGGATCTCCACGAAATGCTGCATGCTGGGCGATGGGATTTCGAGGCGCCGTTGCATGCTAGGAGTTGAGAAAGCTCAAGGACTGTAGACATCTAAAACATTGGAGAGTTCTAAGCCCTGTTGTTGGCTGGGAATTGGAAGCTGTCCAAATAGTTTTTTAGGTTTGGACCTGGAGTCTCAAACACTGTGGCATGCTGAGATGTTTTGAACATGACAGCATGTTGGGAGGTCAGGGAAACCCGGGAGCTATAGTAGGCTCAAAGGCGGAAGAGTTCCAAGCCCTATTGTTGGCTCAGAATTTGATGGTCTCTAGATGCACGTTTAGTTTTGGGACTCCAGGTCTGCAAGGACTGTTGCATTCTCCGGAGCTGAAAGTCTAAATAAAACGCTGCATCTTATGAAATGTAGACCTCGGTAATGAACAACACTTCAGTGTATTGCACTTCCCGTTCAAATCCTTACAACAGCTCTACTAGGTAGGGCTTACTATCCCCCATTTCATTTATTTATTTATTTTTGAGACAGTCTCCCTCTGTCACCCACGCTGGAGTGCAATGGTGTGATCTCGGTTCACTGCAGCCTCCGCCTGCTGGGTTCAAGTGATTCTTCTGCCTCAACCTCCTGAGTAGCTAAGATTACAGGCATGCACCACCATCCTCAGTTAGTTTTTTTGTATTTTTTGGTAGAGGCGGAATTTCACCATGTTGGCCAGGCTGTTCTCAACCTCCTGGCCTCAAGCTATCTGCCTGCCTCTGCCTCCCATAATGCTGGGATTACTGTCATAAGCCACCACACCCGGCTCCCCCATTTTATAGAGGAGAAAATTGAGGCTCAGAGAAGTCAGATGAATTACTCATGGCTACACAATCCACGATGGCAGAGGTGGGTTTTTAAACTCGGTTTCCTTTCCCTTTTCTTTTCTTTCTTTATTTTCTCTGGAGATGGAGCCTCACTCTGTCACCCAGGCTGCAGTGCAGTGGCATGATCTCAGCTCACTGCAACCTCTGCCCCCCAGGTTCAAGCAATTCTTCTGCCTCAGCTTCCAGAGTGGATCGCAGCTCATTTTTGATTACTGTCATAAGCCACCACAGCCAGCTCATTTTTGTCCTTCTCCTGTTGACGGGGTTTTGCCATTTGGCCAGGCTGGTCTTGAACTCGTGACATCAGTTGATCCATCTGCCTCAGCCTCGGCCTCCCACTCGGCCTTAAACTTGGTTTTCTTATACCAGAGTGTGTCTTCTCACTGTACCTTCATATTGCATTTTGGGAACTATATTTCTGTGGGATCTCTGTAGGTTCAGAGCATGGTCTGATAGAATGAAGGCCTCCCTGGGAGTCAGATGGTCTAGGTTCCAGCCTCCTCTGTGCCCAGAATCATTGTGTGACCTTGGGAAGGTTCCTTTTATTTTCCGGGTCTTGGTTTTATTATTGGATCAAATGTTTTCTTTCTTTCTATTTTATTTTATTTTATTTTTTTGAGACAGATTTTTGCTTCAAAACATGTCATTCATACAGAGATGTAAAGAATAAGGATGTCTAAGGCAGGCTCAGGGAGGGGGACGCAGAACAAGTTTTGCTCTTGTTGGCCAGGCTGGCGTGCAGTGGCGTGATCTTGGCTCACTGCACCCTCTGCCTCCCAGGTTCAAGTGATTCTCCTGCCTCAGCCTCCCAGGTGGCTAGGATTACAGGCCCGTGCCACCACGCCCGGCTAATTTTTGTGTCTTTATTAGAGACAGGTTTTTACCATTTTGGCCAGGCTAATTTCAAACTCCTGACCGCCTCGGCCTCCCAAAGTGCTGGTGAGCCACTGCACCCGGCCCCTCTGTCTTTTCTTTCTTTTCCACCCTCTTTCCCTTCCTCTCTCCCTCCAGTCATCTGTTTCTCCATTTTTTTAATTTGTCCGTTCATTTAACAAGTATTTCTTTAACATCCAATGAGTCCTAGATGCTGTGCCTGGAGCCACTAAGGACGGAATGATGAATACGATAAAGGTGATGCTTGTTCTCATGGCGTTTTTAGCTCGGTAGGAATTCGGTGCTGGTGTTATTATCGAACTCACACCTGCATTACTCCTTGGGGTGCACAGGAAGATGTTGATATAAGTGTTTTATGGGCCGGGCATGGTGGCTCACGCCTATAATCCCAGCACTTTGGGAGGCCGAGGCAGGCGGATCACTTGAGGTCAGGCGTTTTTGAGACCAGCCTGGCCAACACAGTGAAAGCCCGTCTCTACTAAAAATACAAAAATTAGTCGGACGTGGTGGTGGGCGCCTGTAGGCCCAGCTACTCAGGAGGCTGAGGCAGGAGAATCACTTGAACCCGGGAGGCACAGGTTGCAGTAAGCCGAGATCGTGCCACTGCATTCCAGCCTGGGTGACAGAGCTAGACTTTGTCTCAAAAAAAAAAAGTGTTTTATGAAAGTCTTGGGCACAAAAATTTTCTGCAAATTGTACAACCAAATGAAAGTGAAGGAGGATTCGATGTTGTCAGTACTGCGGTTATATTGGGTATCAGGGATTGGGGTGGGTTGGGCTTCTGAGGTCTCCCTAGATAAAGGGACATGTTCAGATTGTATTGTTTCTCTCTTTATAAAATATCTATCAGCTGTTGTTCTACGTTTTAAAGGTATGAGACCGAGAAGTTTGCTGCCATTGTGTATTTATAGTGCAGTGGGAGACAGAAATGAGATAAAGAGACAATACTCATATAAATCAATATATATTCATTACTACCAACTGTGATGAATGCTGTAGATAAATAGCAAAGAGTCGGAGAAAAACGTGTTATAAAGGGACCCACTGTAGATTTAGGTGGCGGTGGTTAGTGAAGGCTTCCCTTCAGAACATGTAATTAATGCAGAGAGTGAAGAAGAGGATGTCTAAGGCAGGCTCAGGGAGGGGGAAGTGGAATATTGTTCCAAGCGGCATAAAGGTCTCCGAGCTTGAACGAATCTGGTGCATTGAAAGCCCTGCTTCACGTTGTGAGAGTGTGGGAGGAGCAGCTTGAGAGGAGGCTGGAGAAGCCACAGGAGCCAGACCCATGTGCCTTTTCATTTATTTTTTTTATTTTTGAGATGAAGTCTTGCTCTGTCGCCCAGGCTGGAGTGCAGTGGTGCAATCTTGGCTCGGTACAGCCTCCACCTCCCAGGTTCCAGCGATTCTTCTGCCTCACCCTCCCAAGTAGCTGGGATTACAGGTGCCCGCTACCATGCCTGGCTAATTTTTGTATTTTTAGTAGAGACAGTTTCGTTATGTTGCCCAGGCTGGTCTCAGACTCCTGGCCTCAGGAGATCCGCCCGCCTTGGCCCCTGCAAAGTGCTGGGATTACAGGCATGAGCCACCGCGCTGAGCCTATTTTTTTTTTTTAGTTATTTATTTAATGAGATGGGAGTCTTGCTCTGTCAACCAGGCTGGAGTGCAGTGGTGCAAACTCGGCTCACTGCAACCTCTGCCCTCCCGGGTTCAAGTGATTCTTTTGCCTCAGCCTCCTGAGTAGCTGGAACTACAGACGCCCACCACTGTGCTGGCTAATGTTTGTATTTTTAGTAGTGACAGAGTTTCGTTATGTTGCCCAGGCTGGTTTCGGACTCCTGACCTCAGGAGATCCACCCGCCTCAGCCTCCCAAAGTGCTGGGATTACAGGCATGAGCCACCATGCCTGGCCCCATGTGCCTTTTTAGATCATACCAAGGATGTCAGGCTGGCTGTGGGAGGGGATATCCTGGCATGGCTGAGAGAATAGTCCACAGTGTGGACCTGGCCAGGCTCAGACCCATGCCCACCGCCCTGGGCCTCAGTTTCCTCAACTGTAAAGAAGGGAGCATGATACTTACTTCATAAGGTTGAGTAGAAGAAATGAGATCTGAAGGCATTTGGTTAGATTCTTGCCTCAGGGCCCGTGTGTCAGGACCACAGTGTGTCAGCACGTGTGTCAGGACCACAGTATGTCCCATGGGCCAAATCCCGCCTGCCACTTTTTTTTTTTTTTTTTTTTTTTTTCTGAGACAGGGTTTCCCTCTGTTGCCCAGGCTATATCGCAGTGACACAATCAACTTCCTGCAACTTCAATCTCCTGGGCTCAAGCCATCCTCCCCTGTAGCTGGAACTGTGTACCACCATGCCTGGCTGATTTTAAATATTTTTGTAGATAGGGGGTCTCACTATGTTGTGTAGACTGCTGTGAACTCCTGGCCTCGAACAATCCTCCCTTTTGGGCCTCCCAAGGTGTTGGGATTACAGGCATGAGCCACCGCACCTGGTTTCTGTTTATTTTTGTTTGACCTATGAGCTAAATAGTTGGTGGGGAAAAAAAATCAAAAGAATACTATTTCAGGACATGTGGAAACTACATGGAATTCAAAATTCGGTGTTAAAAAAAAAAATTTCTGTTGGACTGCAGTCACTCCATTCACAATGTATTACCTACAGCTGCTTTTGCACTACAGAGTCCAGCGTGGTGACAGAGACCGCACTGCCGGTAAATCCTAGATAGATTCCTACCACCTGGCCCCCAGGCTCGCTGACCCTTCGTTCTTCTGTTGTCTTCACATATATCTCACATCCATCCCACCAGCAAATTCTTTTTTTTTTTTTTTTTTTTTTAGATGGAGTTTCACTGTTTTTGCCCAGGCTGGAGTGCAGTGGTGCGATCTCAGCTCACTGCAACCTCTGCCTCCCGGGTTCAAGTGACTCTC